ACATTTTACGTTCCTGACGTCACACGTGACGTCACTAGGGTAAGTCTAGCGGTAATTTTTTCCGCCAAATCTAGGGGAAACATTTCTCTGCTTAATTTAGCGGCAACATTGGCAATATTAGATGCGTGTGACGTCACGCGACGTCACACGTGACGTCACTTGTCACGTCACGAGGGTAACTCTCGTGACCCTCTTAAGAGTAACCCTCAAAACTTTCGCGATGGTAACCCTTGTGGCCCTTGTTAGGGTAACCCTCGCGACTCTCGTGAGAGCAACTCCGTGAACCTTGTGAGGGTAACCCTCGTGACGCTCGTGAGGGTAATCCTCGTGACCCTCGTGAGGGTAACTTTCATAACCCTCGTAACCCTCGTGAGCGTAATCCTCGTGATCGTAACCCTCGTGATGATAACCCTCGTGAGGGTAACCCTTTTGAGGGTAACTAACCCTCGTAAGGGTAATGCCCGAGACCCTCGTGAGGGTAACCCTCGTAAACCTCGTGAGAGTAACCCTCGTGACCCATGTGAGGGTATCCCTCGTAATTCTCATGGGGGTAACCGTCGTCAGGGTAACCCTCGTGAGCCTCGTGAAGCTAACACTCGTGGCCCTCATGAGGGTAACCCTCATAACTCTCACGAGGGCCACCCTTGTGATGTCACATGCGACATCACGTCCTTCACAAAAATGGCATATCTGTACTTATATAAAAAATGGTTATATGAAAAGTTTGGCCTATCTGGCCACATGAAGCATATCCGTTTATATAAGGCATATCTGGCCACATATGCCCCAATCAAATAAGGCAACCTTTATATATATAGTTATTTTCTACACAAATCTACCAAAAGTGACTTCTCATCTGTATAAAAAAATACCAACTGGATATTGAGCGTGTACCAACTTTTATTAATTTTTACATGAGCTGCACTTTATGCCACTCCTGATTTTGCTCAACTTGTTTCCCAGGGAAAACAGGACTATCGGCATTCGCGTAACAAATGTCGATGAAACGTTAATGTCGACGAAACGTGTGTCCATGAAACGTGTATCCACGAGAAGGTGGCCATGGAACGTGTTATCACGAAACGCAGGGAGAATAAAAAATGCAGTATTCTACCTGCAGTTGTGACATGATTTCAGACGGCCAATGGCAGGTGACTGCTGGTAGAATTTCGGGAAAATTATTGTCCCGGCTACCAAGCGATAGACACGGCCTAATTCTAAAGGTAATGTGGAATAGTACCTGTAGGAAAACGATCAATTGTCCCGAAGTAGGTTGCTGCGCACTTACGTTGACGATACCGGACTTGAAAGCTGTAATCCGAGATATATGTCGACACGGTCACGGCAGATCCACTCAAACACAAAAAAAACGAGAAGGAAGGTGTCCGTGAAGATTCAACACGATGTAGCACAATCTGTCATTTGTAAACCCGAACACAAAACGCATCACAAACAATTCTTGGGCTTCTTTGAAAAAATCGCTTGTTGCCGATATACGGGTAGGACTTTTCGAACGAGATAGCGTTTCCTACACAAGCAGAATCCACAGCAGCCACGCAGGGCGCGCCGTACGCCAAACTAGGTCCGTATCCGCAAGCAGGCATTCTGATATTGCCAACGGCTAACGCGTCATCCGTCCCACCACGCGACCACGCTTTTGCCATTTCCTGCGCACAGAGAGCGGAGTCTAGCGATGAAAAGTTTACGGTTGTTTCGTTCGGCAAGTAATCACCTTCTACCACGCTATAAACTTAGGGAGAGAAGGAAAAGGAGAGAAGGAAAGGCCAAGCGGAAGTGCACACACAAAAGGCTTATCTTCTGGGGCATCAATGACCACAACGAGTGGATTTGTCACTTGCACCCAAGGTTGATAGTGCAGTGAATGCTATGTGTTGCCTTGGGCTCCAAGCAGGTGCCGTGCTTTGCCTTATCACCAGCTTCTAGACTTTAGTCACGTGACCCTAACCGGAGACACGATTGGCCTAATACATGCATATTGTCTACCCTGCTGTCACTACCGAGTGAACAGAACAGCTCTATGAAGTCCAGCTTTTTAACTTACAAAGAAGCTGTCCAGCCCGAAAGTGACCCAAAACGATTCAAGTTTGAAGATACTGTGTTTTACGCCGTATAACCAATTATAATATTAAATGAAAAAATAAGCGCGACTATTTTTTTCGCACGATGTCCACAGATTTACTGGTAATATAAATATATATATATATATATATATATATATATATATATATATACAGGGTGTTTTTTTTTTATTCTTACACATTTGTTTAAAAAAAAACGTGAAAGCTACACCAATGCGGTTTGTGCAGGTGGATTATACGGCCAGGCGGACAGTATGCGGGTGGCTAATCTTTACGATAAGTCGACTAATTAATTAAAATTCGTTAATTAACTTTTTAATTACTGAAAATAAACATATGGTTTGAATCAGAAAATTGCTGAGCACCATCGAAAACCCCTAAATCAACTAATTTTAGCAGGATATAACGCCGGGGCAGCGTTTTACGGCGTTCTGTAAGAACTCTCTATTTGGACGTGTTTCTAGATTTCGGTTTCTTATCGGAGCGCATCACCGCGCCCGCGGTCCTGCTCCCCAGTGGCTGAGACGCGCAACACACGTGCGCTGTACTTCCCTCCATTCTACGAGGGAGGCGAGGAGGTGGCTTCGCGCCGCGAGCACCAGGGAGCAGGATCGCGGGCGCGTAGATGCGCTCCGATAAGAAACCGAAATCTACAAACGCGTCCAAATGGAGCGTTTTTACAGAACGCTGTAAAATGCTGTCCCGGCTTATATCCTTCCAAAAATACTTGATTTAGTGGTTTTCCATGATGCTCTACAAGTTTCTAATTGGAACCATATGTCTATTTCCACTAATTAAAAAGTTAATTAACGAATTTTAATCAATTAGCCGACTTATCGCGAAGATTAGCCACTCACATAATGTCCGCCTGGCCGTATAACCCACCTGCACAAACCGCATTAGTGTGGCTTTCACGGTTTTTTTTAAACAAATGTGTAAGAATAAAAAAAAACTGTATATATATATATATATATATATATATATATATATTACCAATACATTTAAAATTATGTGTACGCTCTTAGGTTCCCGTTTATAAATTCCATTTCTTTTGCGAATGGGTTACACATAAAAGACACCACAAGGAGCACATCTTCCGACTTTCAACACACGATGAATCCCCGACGCTCGCAAACGGAAGGTTGCGATGCTGCACAAACGGTTTTTAAAGGTGCTGCGTAGGGTACTCCGGGCGCAACGGCTTCGCAGCGGTTCGAAGGGAAAAGGATTCGGGACGGCGAAGCATCTTCAGTAAGCTAACGGTTCGTGTTTCCCCGCTAAATTTAGCTGGGAAACATGAACAAAATTAGTTTCACTTCTATGTTTAGCGGGAAAATTGACGTCGCGTGACATAAGCACCAATTCAATTTGCCGCTAAATTCAGCGGGGCGGTTACACCGATGCCGATGGCGACGCCATAACCGCTTAACGCGGAGACGGGCGCCTAAGAGCTGCGATCTAAAATCCATCGTTTGATTAACTCGCTTTCCGATCTTATGCACTTCGTCATATTGTCACGCGTCAAACATACAACCAAATGTCATTTGTCTTTCAATCTTCAAAATGCGCAATTGATTAATTGGTCAAAATATCTGCAATAACTTCACTTTAAGGATGTTAACAATAGTTAACCAATTACATGAGACTCATGTAATATCGATCAATCAACTAGTTTCTCGGCGAGTACATTTGACTTTTTGCTTGCACGACTGAAACGGGCCCATATATCATAATCAACGGATATATTTTTACCCATATATGTATGTCGTGAACGGCCTAAATGTGGCTGTTTTTTAACTTTTATACTGCGATGACAATATATGGCCGTGGTTACGCACTTATATAGCCACATATGGCAGTATTCGCCCACTTATATGGCGATATCTGGCCTTACTTGATCCCTTATATAGCGGTATATGGCCATATTTGACTCCTTATATTATCATATATGGCCATATATGAAATATATCAGGGCAATACGGGACATTTTTGTACGAGGTGTGACGTCACTATGGGAACTTCCCATAATGCAAAGCATGGTCACGCCGACGGCGTCGCCGCTCAAGCCGGAAACGGGCGCCTAAGAGCTGCGTTCTAAAAGGTAGCGACGGCGCATTTTCTTCCCTTCTACTCACGCGCCCCCAAGCGGACACGAGAAGAAGAGAGGAACGATACGTTTTTCTCCTTCTCCAGGCAGACGGGAGAAAGCTCCAGCCCTCCCAACTCATCTTTTTTCGGATTCGGTTTTCGAGCACGTCGCACACATTGTTTAACAAATGTTGTTGAGTGGATTGAGCTTCAGCGGCAGCGATGGCCGCTGGTATTTCGTCTCCCAGTCCAAACGTGCAGAAAATTTCGGTTGCATTGACGTTTTAAGCACTAATTTTGTCAAACGAGCAAATGCAGCCTCTAGGAACAGTGAAGTTCTGGAGCGGTGCCATCAGTGCTTCGTACAATGGGCTAAGATGGCCGTCTCCGGATTGCCAAACCCACGCGGAGCCATGCGGACCACGCGAAACGACGTGTCCACAGCGGATGTATCGACGTTGACGACGTTATGGAAATCGCTTAAACTGTGTCCAAAACAGGCAGGTTTTGCTACAGGGTGCCTTGGTGCCTTCTGTGCTGAGTTCGGCAGTCAACGTGGTTCTGTATTTCTGGGTGTCAGCAACATAGCAGCAACATCGTGATGGCAGTGTTGTGCGCGTTGTGCTTCGCGTTCTTTCTTATGGGCCGATGCGGTAATCTGATTGAGTGACATGCTGTTTACTCCACACGCATTTCTTAAGACTGTAGAAGCAGCGCCCGTAGGTCGTGCAAGTTTAAATATATCCTTTAAGCGTCGCTTTAAATGAAATGCTTGAATCTGAACTCGACGCTTCCTGCTCCTCCCATGCACAGACATCAACCGTGGAGACGGCTGGTTCGGCCGACCCTGCTGCCACAAGCCCAAGCTCAAGAAATGCCAGCTGGCCTGCCTAAAGGTATGTCCTCAGCACACTTCTGCTCCGAAATGCACAGTTGGCTTAAACCTGAAGCTTTGTAATGATTGAAGCTTTGTCGGAGGTCATTCACGAACATATTGAATGTGGACCTTTCGGTTAGCACCCGTTGGTCTCTCGTGCTATTTATTTCCTACTATACCTATTGCTAAATTACCCTAGCATCAAGGAGAATGCAGGGATTGGTGTTCGACGCGCCGCACACGCTGGCCTCAGCAGTAGTAACTTTTCTAACACAAAAGCCTAAAACAAATTGCATCTTGAACCCGCGTTCGTCAAAGCTTTATTTTGGTTATTTACTTCGAATCGTTTATACGGGGAAGGCATGCGCGCGTAGCACGTAGAACAACAATCCCTATATTTTCTTTGAAGCTTGGGTAATTTAGCAATAGGTCTATTTCTGTTGTTGTTGGCATAGAATAAAATTGACAACGACCTTTAACTCCAGAAAGTCCAGTGCATGGAATGCAATATCTAAAGGGGTAGATAATCGAACCTTCAAATATCCCCTGAACACTTCGAAACGACTGAAATATGATCCATGATATCCGTAAACTATAATCACACGCTGTATTTTCAGCGCCATGGATATATTGTTCGGTCCAACCGACGGATTCTGCAAGCGCTTAAAAATTACTCATCGAGGCGGCGCGATACATTTCGGGATATTTGCCCGTGACGTCACGCTCGCAACGTCACGGGCCTATAAACAGCCAAGGGTACCGTAATCACAATCATGCTCACTAGGTGGCATCAGCTTCATCGTCAACGCGTTACAATCCCGCCAAGTGGGAACACCCGAGATATGTTATACTAGAACTTAGGGGTGTGCCAAGTCTTTGTCATGAGTCCCGGTGTGATTATTTCTGGATCTGCTGAATTAATGTGTGCGGCGCGCAAGTGCAACTTCGGGTTCAAACTTTGTCACCATTACCTGGAAGACACGCGATGTATATTTCAATCGTTAAACTGAACATTCAGGTCGCTTTTACGGTCCCCCTAATGGCGCGTTTACGCTTGCGTATTCGCGGGCGGATCCGCGCCGGCGGGAAGTGGATTTTGGATCCGGGTGACGAAATCGACTCGTTGCTGGCGGAAAATCTGGGTATGGGTCCCGAACTGATCCTGATTTTCCACCAGCGACACGTGGATTTTGCCACCCGGATCCTTACTTCATTTTTTGCCTGCGCAGGTACGCCCGAAAATCGCAAATTTTAAACGCATTTTCAGGAGGGATTGTGCGAATTTGTTTAGAAGGTATTAAACAGTCGTTTTCGGGAGTGGAGAACAACCATTTCACCGCTACATTTAGCTGTGAAACTCAATTTTTGCATAAATCAGGTGACGTGAATTTTTGGGTAAATCTAGCGGGAAAACTTAATTGCTGTCTACGTCACGTGACGTGACGTCAATTTCCCGCTAAATGTAAAAGAAAAATTCACAGACAGACGTGCAGACAGACACATTTCTGGGATTACTGTGTTTTGTTACAAAGCGTTCCATGCTTTAAACGCTGGTGCTCTCGCTGTACTTTCCTCTTTCCTCAACGCTTTCCTCAACGCCCGCGCGGAGTACCAGGACCTCACTTAAGGTACGCAGTCACCGCGAGGGGTCGCCAATGCTGTGATCATGGCAAAAGCAGGGGGTGTCGTCTGCTACAGAAAAACAAACTCGTTTTCCCCGCCGAAAAAGAAAATGCACCCCTCCCCCCTCTTTTCCTCCCGCCCATATAAAAAAATCAAATTTTAGACGAATAAAACACTCATTTTATATTCTGTTTATATTTTAATGCAACGTTTTCGTGTTTATACAAAGACTTCTGTAATTATGTCGGGCTTTAAGGACTGGTCATTATTCGCTTCAAACTTTCGAAATTACTTTTGGCATTTTTTTTATATATTAAAGTACGCGATTACACGGAGGAGAGCGCCACCCGCTGTCGCACATGAACGCGAGTTTAATGTTGAAACTTTAAAACAATTGCTTCAAATGTCTGGATTGGGCGAAGTCACAGGTGCCTTGCTCTGTAGGTTTCTGACGCCGCCTAAATATGGCGATAACTCACTCTGCGGGCTCTGAGAATTCTAGAAATTCATAAATCATAACGATGCGCGGCCGATTTCTTTATTAAAAAAGCGATCAATGATCGAACATACCGCGTTGTTCCGACAGCCACGACGACATGTGACCAATGAGAACGCTACATTTCGTTGAGATTCTATATGCTGTTATCATTAAATGTCTGTGCATTTGTAGATAATAAAAGCGAATAAGAGTAGTCGAAAAATGTTAATTTTTCGCGGAGAGGGAACATAATACTGCAATAAGCGTCTCAGAAACAACGCACAATGTATTTTTCTCGCGGGAGTGATGTGTCCGGTCGTCAGCTCTTGAGCGCGCGCTCGCTGGCATGAATTGTAGTCCCGGCTGTATAGGCAACGAGCCGCACGCATTCGAGATATCACTCCACGGTTCCACCCATAGAGTTATTAGAGAGTTTTAGTAAATCGTTCCGATACCTCCGATAACGATACCCGATACTCCGCCACCGCCTCCCTTGAGCATGCATAGTATCGTTATCGGGGCTATCGGAGGTATCGGAACGATCTACTAAAACTCTCTATTATAATGTACGCTAGAGGTTCAAGTGGCGCTAGTGTGCTGACGCAAATTGAAGCAGACAGCAACCAGTCGAACATTGACTTCCGGTAATGCATTTCTATGGGAAAAAGTGAGTGCATTTTCTCTCTGCGCTCGATCATAAGAGTAAATATCCCGAATAATTCGTACGTACTAGGTAGCTTGGAACATTTCTCAGTCAGGCCGACGAAATAATTGGTCAGTTACGGTGTTTTTCTTTCAAATTCATCGCATTAAAGACGGTGCTAAAACAGCTTCGTACGTGTATTTATGTGCACTGTCGGACACTGTTAGCGCGAACACGACGTCGGCGCTTTTCAGCGTGGGGGATATACGTGCCAAACGAACGAAGAACATCTGGAAATTAAGAAAGACGGCAAAAACTACGCAGTAACACCAGATCAGTAACTACACGTGCATATACGATCAAAATTAATTGAAGGCCACGTAATCTATTCCTATTTTAAATAAGTAAGTACCGTTTTATTCTTTCTGCTCTGAGCGAAGCTGCTTGTTCTACGTTCAAAATATCACTCGCACGCTCGAAATCTTTGAGAACAAGTGCCCGATAAAAGCTGCCCGGCAGAGAAAGCAATACGAACAGACAACTTTTATAGCCCACGAACTTTATTCTCTACGTTTTGAATGTTTTTATCTGCTCATGCACGACGGGGTCATTTTTATATAGTGACAGGACTGGCATATTATCAATATATAAGCGTCACCGGATTGCTGGCGAGCCTTGAACACACTCTACATTCCTTTCGATTGTAATTTTGCTTCGAATCGTCGCTTGTTTTTACACACCTGCTGCAGAACACACGTTTGGGACTCAAATGTAGCGAAGTTAAACATAGGTCACTGATGAAGAAAAATGCGCTAACTAAAGCAATTACACTTTTACAGTGTTAATCAAGGTACATACTATTCGGTACGACCCAAATAACCAAAGTGTTCCGTGTTATTTTCCGGCGAAGAGACAAAATGCACGCGCGCTTTCCCATATGAATACACAGGAAGACTGGAAAAGTAGACTGGTTGCTGTCTGCTTCAATTTGCGTCACGGAAGTCGCATAGACACTAGCGCCAGTTGAACCTCTAGCGTACATTATAATAACTCTATGGTTCCACCGGTCGAAGGTGCGAAGATCCTTCGCTAGCTAATGGCTGACCGTGGTCGTGGTTCGGAACATGCTCCTCCCATCGCCGGAGATGAGGTCAGTATGTTGCGATGTTTGATTGCTTTTTTAATAGTGGAATCGGCCACGTATCGTCACGATGTAGGGATTCTAGTATGCTTTGAGCCAGCAGAGTAAACTATACGCCGTATTTAGGCGATTTCAGGAACCTGCTCAGGGCATCTTTAAATTCCGAAGATTTGGCACCCTATCGAACGGCTGACGTTACGTTCAAGCATGGTCCAGGCTTATTCTAAGCATACGTCGACGCGTAGGTTACAAGTTCTGTGAACACGACACGGTTTCCGTTCCTGGGGGCACTGCCCGTACTTTGAGTTACGAGTTTTAAAGTGCATGATTTTTCATATTTGCGCAATTATAATGTCGCCAAAATTGGTTTTTTTCAATAACAAAAAGTGTGTACCATAATTCCAAAGATACCGAGAGCATATTGTGGTCCAAAACAAATAGGATGCAAATACAAGACAATTTACTAATTGGTGATATGGACTTTTAATAGTCAATGTGTTTTGAGCGTGCGGTGCGTTCATGTGTACAACAAACATCGATAAAAACTAGTGTTTTTCCTTGCTTTGAGTAAGACTAATAGAATTATTGAAATGTAATACAATGCGTCATAGACTCGTACACTGTCATTCTACCCGTTCTTATAAACAACTGTAATCCTTCACCCGACTACATAATTACTACAAGCGACGCCTGAATTTAGCTGCCGCAAATCACCTCCAGCCTAAAATACAGGGCTTGCAAGAACCATTGCATGCACGTGTCTTTATGTTTGTGATTTGTAATGAGATATTATGCAGCTTTAACTCGTTTCTTTGACAGCTGGGTCACTCAAGTAAGCAAAACTGGTGACTATGGCGGCAATTTAGAAACACAGACGCGCCACACTCGATTTTCAACATCACTACCAATACAGCAACGAGCGCTGAAGCCGGGTCTAAAAATACTTAACTTATCAAAAAGCACGAGAAAACGGCGGTAACCCCAAAGATGTGGTGTCATTTTCTTGAAACTGTAACGTGGGGCCCACTGCCAGTGTCAAGTCGACAGTTATAAAGTGGTGCCACATTTATAGCGATAATAATCTCTGTATAAGGGGAATAAGGGGGACAAAGGACAAGCACGAATATCCAGAGATTCCTGGTTCGACACCAGGACCAGGTGGATTTTTTTAGTCACGCACCAGTCACCTAGCTATGTTTGAATATTTGTTGTTTTACTTTGCCCCCTTTGTTCCCCTTCTCAAGGGATTATTATCGCAATTCTTATCCAGATCGCTAGAACCTTTGTATCCATTGCATTAACATCATTGCAATGCGACATTTCCTCCTGTTTGTACACTTCTGTCGTAAAATATAGTGAAATTTAGCATGTGTTTTCGCTCTTTCCATGTGTTTGGCATGACGTGCTCTGTCTACCTGTAATGAGTCCAACCAACACCGCATATTCATAAGAATTCGGTAGTGCTTTATCTACGTCAGCTTCTAGGGGCCAGAGCGGGCATAGAGTGGACACTGTGTCGTAGGTAGGCTAGGACTCAGTCAGTGAGGACGAACACGCCTGTCCACTTTCCGCTCCACCTCCCGAAGGTGACGTAGACAACCTGCCTCTACGGCCTTGTCGTCCGGGAGAGGCCGACCCCACTGCCGATCGCCCATTTGTCTTCTCTGCTTCCCTGGGGCAGGCGCAAAGCCTCCAAGACCTGCAGCCGGCCTGCAGGCAGAGCGACGAGATAGACTTCCAAGCCTGTCTGGAAAAGCAAGACTGTGAGTTCCAACATTTACCGACCATAAAACGGCAGACGACCCTCCTCTTCTATTGGGAAGCTGGAACTGAAGCTTCTAAATTCAATAAACTAAATTACGAAACGTGCTGGCCTGCCTGGAATAGGTCCACGTTTTCTCGGAGCCTCTGACAACCTTGTTACTCAATTTCTTGCTGCTTTTTTCCCCCTTTAAATTTACATACGTTATTTTTTTAACGTTCTCCGTTCATACAAAGTTATTGTTTTCAGAACCTGAGAGTGCTTACAAACTGCGACACCGACATGATTGGCCTTCATAACATTCGGTAGAATAAATATTTTTCAACGCTGTCTATTTGCAAATCGCCAGCTATGTGATTGCTTCATTTCCCAAAACGTCCTGGGTATTTTTGAAACGAATCAGGTGTCGTCTCATAGCGGCTGTCTCCTAATTCCAAACACCAACAATCATGACGAAAGTGGTCGTTTTTATCTTTCGATTTTTAATCTTTGCTTTCCCGGATTATTGTTATTATACTTTATCAACGGGTGATTAGGCGTGACATTTTGTTCACTAGCAGTAATGTTAGCTGGTCTCTCGGCAGCTCTAATTTCTACACCAGTTTTAACGTTCACAATCATAGTTGTGACCATTTCGACAATCAAATTCCGTAATTACCCAGTGAAAACATTCATAAAATTATTTTAGGTGCGCGCCATCCTTAATTGTTAAATAAGGCTTTATGAGCCTTTATTTGAGTGAGACGTTTTTAATAAGAAACTATCTCTACCATCGAAGCCATCTGTGTCGTCGTGTTGCCGGCCCGAAATTCTCTCGGCCAGCGACCAGGGCAACACACGTTGTCCAACGCAAGTTGCTGCTGTTTTTGTTCCCGAAAGCTGTATTACCGACGCAACATTTTTGTTGTCGTCCTTTTCGTGCTGCTGTCCGCGATGTGACAGGTTTGTCGGACACCACGGTAGCCAGCAACAAGTTGCCCCACTGTTGGACAACGTGTTGTGTTGCTGCTGCCGTCGTGTTGCCTCAGTGTGACAGGATCTTTAGAGTTCCTGCATACGGATTGGGATCGGTGGTCGAGTGTGTTAGAGCTCCTAGATACTACCTACATACGACAGCAGAGTTGCGCGTTCATCCTCGGCATGTGGCCGTAGCGCCGGCTTTCTTGCATTGCCCTGGATGCTTTGCTTGTCACGTGACTGAATTTGCAAAATAGCTGCACCGCGCGCGCCGCGTCGTCGCATGGGAAAACAAAAGTGAAAGTCGTTTACCACTCCCTGTAACGCCGAATTGGAGCGCAGCTCTTGAGGAGGAGGAGGGGAGGGTGCTGAGGGCCACGTGTTCTCGGGGGGGGGGGGGGGGTCGTGACCCCCCCCCCCGAGGGCACGTGACCTTGGTGGGGTCACGTGGGGGCAAACACGTGCCCCCTCAGAGGTCACGTGACCTCGGGAGGGGGTCGCGGACCACAGGTCACGTGACCCCGCGGGTCACGTGACCTAAATTTTTCCGCTAGATTAAGCGGGGAAATTTTTTCCGCCAGATTTAGCGGGGAAAGTTTTCCGCTAGATTTAGCGGGGAAATTTTTTCCGCTAGATTTAGCGGGGAAATTTTTTCCGCTAGATTTAGCGGGGAAAGTTTTCTGCTAAATTTAGCGGGGAATTTTTTTCCGCTAGATTTAGCGGAGAAATTTTTCCGCTAGATTTAGCGGGGAAACTTTTTCCGCTAGATTTAGCGGGGAAATTGTTTCCGCTAGATTTAGCGGGGAACTTTTTTCCGCTAGATTTAGCGGGGAAATTTTTTCCGCTAGATATAGCGGGTAAATGTTTCCGCTAGATTTAGCGGGGAAATTTTTCCGCTAGATTTAGCGGGGAAACTGTTCCGCTAGATTTAGCGGGGAAATTTTTTCCGCTAGATTTGACGGGGAAATTTTTCCACTAGATTTAGCGGGGAAATTTTTTCCGCTAGATTTAGTGGGGAAATTTTTTCCGCTAGATTTAGTGGGGAAATTTTTTTCGCTAGATTTAGCGGGGAAATTTTTTCCGCTAGATTTAGCGGGGAAATTGTTTCCGCTAGATTTAGCGGGGAAATTTACCCATAATGGACCGCGCGGTTACGCCGACGGCGACGCCGACGGCGACGGCGACGGCGACGCCGCTCAAGCCGGAAACGGGCGCCTAAGAGCTGCGCTCTAAAATCAAAGCCGTTTACAACTCCCTGCAACGTCGAATTAGAGTGCAGCTCTTGAGGAGGAGGAGGGAAGGGTACTGGGGGGGGGGGGGTCAAGTGACCTCGGGGGGCGGGAAGTCACGTGACCTTGGGGCGTCACGTGACGTCGGGGGGGGTCACGTGACCTGGGGCCACGTGACGATGCCGATGACGTCATCAGTGACGTCACTGATGACGCCATCAGTGATGATGACGATGCGGATGCCGGTGACGTCATCAGTGACGTCACTGATGACGTCATCAGTGATGATGACGATGACGATGCGGATGCCGGTGACGTCATCAGTGACGTCACTGATGACGTCATCAGTGGCTATGACGTCTACGGAGGTCACGTGACCTCGGGGGGTATCCCCAGGTCACGTGACCCCCCCGGGGTCACGTGACCTGGGTAACCATCGTGACCCTCGTGAGGGTAACCCTAGTAACCCTTGTGAGGGCAACTCTCGTGACCCTCGTGAGGGCAACTCTCGTGACCCTCGTGAGGGTAACTCTCGTGACCCTCGTGAGGGTAACTCTCGTGACCCTCGTGAGGGTAACTCTCATAACCCTCGTGACCCTGGTGAGGGTAACCCTCGTGAGGGTAACCCTCGTGAGGTAACCCTTTTGAGGCTAACTAACCCTCGTAACCCTCGTGAGGGTTACGAGGGTAAGTAACCCTCGTGGAGGGTAACCCTCGTGAAGGTAACACTTTTGAGGGTAACTAACCCTCGTAACCCTCGTGAGGGTTACGAGGGTAAGTAACCCTCGTGGCCCTCGTGATCCTCGTGACAGTAACCCTCATGAGATTAACCCTCGTAACCCTCACGAGGGTTACGAGAGTTGCGGTTACGCCGACGCCGACGGCGACGCCGACGCCGACGCCGACGCCGCTCAAGCCGGGAACGGGCCCCTAAGAGCTGCGCTCTGAAATGAAAGGAGGAGAAGGAGGCGGAAGCAGGGGAACATACGCCGGGGCGCGTGCAACGTCGGCGGAAAAAAAAAAAAAAACATCTCCACGTGGTGAATGATGTTGATTGGGGCGAAGCTCTGGTGATGCTTGTCCGCGTAGACGATGAGCCGCAGCATGCCGAACCTTTCGTTCGTTTTCATCCATGTCACGCTGTGGTCAAATGCTCCAATGCGTATATAACCACGTTCCATACCACACATTCTCTTTCTGACATGGATGAAAACGAACGAAAGGCTCGGCATGCTGCGGCTCACCGTCTACGCAGACAAGCACCACCAGGACCCGTTTGCTCCAAGCTGGTTAACTAACCGCGGTTAACCGGATTTCCCTACGGGGGTGAATTTTGGGTCACGTGACCGGCAGAGTAAGGACGGCGGGGAAACATGGCGGTGCCCCGGTGAGTGAGCGCCGCTCGCTTTGGAACTAATACGTCGTAGTAGCTGCAGCAGCGGGCGTGTTAGTCAGCAATGAATGCTGCAGGAGGTTTTCGCGTTGCCTTACCTCACTTAAAGCGCAAAGCATGAGCAATGACCTCGCCGCATTTTTTAGATAGACTTTCGACTCTGGCCATTCCTAAGCCTAAGTGAACGCTATAGTTTTCGGCCTGGCAACGTCTTTGGAAAGTGGATTGCCTTGACTCAATCGGCCGGGTATTGATAGCACACAAAAGCAGAGAGCGTTCCGATAGACCTTTTGCTAAATTTCTGAAGCACCGAGGTGCATGCTACGAGTGTAGTTACACGCGCTGCACCTGCTGGCGTCTGAGTAATAACTGTTCTGAAGCAAAAAACCTAAAACAAACTTTGCCGTGCACGCGCGTTCGTCAAAGATTTATTATGATTATTTACTTCAAATCTTTTATAAGTGGAAGGCCAACGCGCGCGGATCGTAGAATTACACTTCCAGCGTTCTTCTCGATGTTCGGGTAATTTACTAATAGGTCAATTTTCAGTGGAGCCGAGTTGCAGGTTCTTCAATTTATGATGGTGTTATATACAGTTCTTACATGCTGGCCAACCATGCTGCCGGTGTACCGCCGCCTTTTACTGCTGACTTCTTTCTCATCGTTTCTAGGGCTCAACTTCGTCGTCCTCTTTCGAACTCGGAAGGAAATTTCAACGATGCTTTTCTTCACTTCATACAGCCAAATATTTAGAAAATTTCAACAAGAAGGGTGAATTTAGTTTTACCTTGCCGACTGTTTCTACCACGAGCAATAAAAATTGTTTCTTAAGCTCAAATCTATGCCGCGCTGCGTCGCGAAAACCAAGCAGCGCGCATTTTTTGGGTCCCCCCATTTCGGGAACCTATCCACGGAAGCCATGTATATTCGCTACAGCCAGTAGGTGACACCAGCTACCACCCCATAATAAAACAGGAACTATCGCTCATCCAGCCCTTGTCAAACTTGGCTATGTACTTGTAGGTATCTAGTAGGGAAGGGCGGTTAACTTTTAACCGCGGTTAAAGTTAACCGGCTTTGAGCAAACGGGCCCAGAGCTTCGCCCCAATCAAGATCATTCACCACGTAGAGATGCGGTTGTTGTATTTTTTTTTTTGCCCTATACGAGCACTGGAGCACGTGCTCACGTGCTCGTGTGCACGAGCACCCGACGCCGGACATCAGACGGACATACGGACATGGCTAGCCCCTAAAGGTGTATCCACACGACGGACCAAATTGCCGTTTTGGTCCGCGGGCCGCGCATCACGTGATCTTACGTCACCGGTTTTCGAGGTCCGCCGGCGGTCCGCGGCCCGCGCTTCTGAGAAATGCCAAGCGACTTTCTCGCCCGGACCTTGGCGGCGGACCGCGCCGTTTTTA